ACAGGCCCCCCGGGCTGGCGGTCTGTCTGGCCCCCAGGCCGGTGGCTGCACCCGCGCAGCGAGGCTCGGGGAGGGGTGCGGCGGGTGGGCTGAGCGCCCGCAGCTAGAGCGGAGGAGGTCCTGGATGGCGGGCCAGATTGTCCCTGAAAACTGTTTTAACTCCCTGGCGTGAGGAAGAATGATGTGGGTCACTGTTATAGACCCCTACCCCCCTCCAGACGCTGCCCCCTGCCCTGTGGGTAGGCTGTTCCCATTCCTGTGCTGGTCTCAGTGGAGCGGAGGAAGGGAGGTGGCCTTGGGCAAATATCTGGACATCTGTGGCTCGGTGTTCACCTGCAGAACGGGAGCTTCTGAGCAGTCCTCCCCAACAGCCCTGGGCTAGTAAGAGGGGTGGGGGCTGGGAGCCGGGGTGTGGCTTGGGTGGTGGGCAGCTGACAGGTGATGTCCCCGTCTCCTTGCTCCCACCCAGGTGTTCAGCGACATGACCGTAGGGGAGGGAGAGATGGTGTGTGTGGAGCTGGTGGCCAGTGACAAAACCAACACGTTCCAAGGGGTCATCTTTCAAGGCTCCATCCGCTATGAGGCTCTCAAGAAGGTGTATGACAACCGCGTGAGTGTGGGGCGGTCCGGGAGCACCCGCAGCCCCCGCAGCCCCCCTCAGGCCCCGCCCCTCCTCAGAGCGCCTGCAGGCCCTGGGCCCCTCGAGGCGGCTGAGAGCCTGCACTTCGCCGTGTTCTTCGCAGCGGCCTTGGCCCACTCCCCCCGCCCAGTGAGCACACTCCTGAGACTGGCCCCTGAGTGACTGAACTGAAGGGAGAGGAGGCCGGTGGATGGGACCCTGTCCCGCAGCTGAGCCCTGTCCTGAGGATGTCCTCCCTCTGGGACCTGGGGAGGAAGGGGGCAGCGGTCCCGCTGGGCTGGGGCCCTGTCCCCAGCGTGGTGCTGGGCCTGCCGTGGGGCGGGGTCACTGGGCTGAGAGGAGTGGCAGCCAGAAGTCTCCAGCGTCCCAGCGCCGCCCTTCCTGGTGGGTGAGCCGGGGTCAGCCGGGGCTCCCTCTCCCCTGGAGGCAGGGGAGAGTCATCCCTGCTGCAAAGGTCCCCAGGGGAGGGTGTCCCTACCTGCCTGACTCAGACCATGTCCCCCTGCCCGCAGGTGAGTGTGGCCGCCCGCATGGCACAGAAGATGTCGTTTGGCTTCTACAAGTACAGCAACATGGAGTTTGTGCGCATGAAGGGGCCGCAGGGCAAGGGCCATGCTGAGATGGCGGTCAGCCGTGTGTCCACTGGTGACACATCCCCCTGCGGAACCGAAGAGGACTCCAGCCCGGCTTCGCCAATGCACGAGCGGGTAAGGGCTGTGGCTCGGGGAGGGGCTTCTGTTCCTCAGACCTGCTCCCCACCATCTCCCAGATCCTCACAGCCCCGGGGAGGTAGGTGTCATCCTCCTCACCCCTCTGGTGTGGAGGCCAAGGTTCAGAAAGAGCAGGTGATTTGCCCAAGGTCACACAGCAGGTTAGTGCCTGGGCCCTAGGCTGCCACTGCAGGTGGGCTCCATCTCCAGAGTCCTGGCGCCTGCCTCGGTGGACCTGCTGGGTGAGTGTGGGCACGTGGCGGGTGTGGGCCTCCCTAGAGAGAGAGGTGGGATGACGATGAGCTGGCAGCCCTCCGTGAGGGTCAGCCAGAGCGCAGAGGCCCTGGCGCTGCCCAGCCCTCTCTCTGTTTGGGCCGCTTGTTACAGGTCTCGTGCACCTGAGCTGCTGGGAGGCCGCCAGTGGCCCTTGGGTAGCTGTGAGCTTTCCCGTCTGCAGACCTGGGAACCCAGGCTTGCTGGGTTTAATTGTGCTGTCTCAGGTCACACGGCTCCCGTGTGACAGCACTGAGCCTTTGAGCCTTGCTCTTTCTAGGCCGCCATCCTTCCCCAGGGGTGGGACACTGAGACCGTTGGCAGCTTTACTCCCAGAGCCGCCGGGGTGGCCCAGGGCTCAGGCAGGACAAAGTCTTCAGCCCGCTGGCTGCTTTTGGCCCAGTTGGGCCTTCCCAAGGAGGCTGCTCCGAGCTGTGGGTCTGGACGAGGACTGGTCTGTCAGGGCACCGCGGGCAGGGAGGCAGCCTCGCCCTGCTCGTTGCCAGGAGAGGGGCTTGCGGGTGGGCTGGGATCCAGGCGCTGCTGCTGGCGTGAACTGGGACAGGCCCCTTCTCCTCTCTGAGCCTCTGTTTGCTCATCCAGAAATGGGGTGAAAACGCCTGCTGCCTGAGATGGGGGGGTGCTCAGAGGAGCTTCACAGGGCGGGCCCTCAAGAGCTGGAGGGAAAATGGCTCCTGGGAGTTTGTGCCGGCTCCGCCCGAGGCGAGGGAGTGGAGCTGCTGTACTTTTAATTCTGTGGAGCATGTTAACCGCGCACATCTGCGGGGAGTCCGAGGACGGTTTTCTTTCTACGTTTTTTTTTTAAATCTTTTTATGATTTGAATTTTCTGCAATGAATGTATTTTATAAGCAGAGCAGAAACAGTAAGTGCTGTTTTTTGTGATGATGGGTGAGAATTCCAGGTAGGGCCTCTCTTGTCTTTGGAACAAAGATTGTTTATATGTCTGAGATAAGGAGCCTAATTCTTCTCCCTGGTCCTAAATTGCCCACTGAGACCCTAACAAACGTGTATGTGAAAGTCCCTGTGAAGCTGTGGCCTGGGCTTGGGCTGGACAAACCTGGGAGCCAGTTCCAGCCACATGTCTGCCGAGTGATCACACATGGGTTACTAGACCTGCCTGAGCCTTGATTTTTCCCATCCATCAAATAGGGGTGATGATCTTTCTCTCTTGGGGGGCTGTGGGGGTGCAGGAGATGGTGCCTGTGAAAGCCCCGGCCCATAGTCGCAGGGAGGCCTGGGCTCAAGGGGAGGGACTCGCCAGGGTCACGCAGCTGTCAGTGGCAGGCCCTGACCTCCCAGGGCTGCTCAGGCCCCCACCCACTCTGTGCTCACCATCACGTGTCCCCCTTTTCCAGAGGGGTCGTTTGTAACCAGCACATGACAAATGCAGACTCTGTGTGTATTGTGGTTTCTGGTGTTTGTTTTTTATCTTTTAAAAACCTTCCCTGGCTTATGGGAGGACCATCTGGAGCCCAGCGGCCGCCGGGACTTTGGTGGATGTCGGAGCCATGACGAGGAGGCTGATGGGACTCCCGAAGTCTCAGTCCCAGCTCACCTTGTTCCTCAGATTCTTGTTTGCATGGGGAGGAGGGAGGAGATGGGCCAAGTTCCCTCTGCCTGGAACGCCCTTCCCCCCCTTCTTCACCTAGCGAACTCCTACTCGTCCTTCAAGACCCAACTCGAGCAGCGTCTCCTCCGGGAAGCCTTTCCTGATTTCCCAGGCTGTTGATTCCTTTTGCCTCTGTGCTCCCCTGTATCCTGTGCTTCCTTTTTTCTGTCTCAGCAACCAACATTCAGTCTGTGGTTGTCACTTTCTTCAACCCCAGCAGACTGTGAGCTCCTTGAGGGCAGGGACCAATGTCATAAGCCTGTGCTTAGTGCTGCCCTGAGTGGGTGTGGAGAGTGGCTGGTGACTCACAGTCTGGTTGAAAGAGAGGAGAGGAGGAAATGGGAGCAAGGACCACATGGCCAGTGAACGTCTATGAAAGGAAGCTGGGGGAGAGGGGGTGGGGACATATTGGCCAAGAGAAGAAATTAGAGTGAAGAGCATGGCCTCAGGGGCAGAAGACCTGGGTTGCAACCCTGGGATGGCCACCATCCTGCTGAATGACTTGGGCATGTCAAGGTCACTGTCCCGCCTTGGTTTCTTCTTTGTCAGATGGGGCTGGTGCTTGTTCCTGTGTTGTGGGTGGTCAGGAAGGTTCAGTGGATTCAGTGGCAGGGCAGGTGCTTGAGCCACGTCAGCATCTGGGCTGGCTTTGTGTTCGAATGAGCCCCTGACCAGCGTGTGAGGCCGGCAGGAGGGTGGCCGGGTTCCCCCCGGGTCCCCCACCGGACCGCAGGGTGGCCGCCCTCAGCAGGGCGGGTCTCCTTGGTCTGAGGCAGGAGATGGGGGCGCGCTGGGACCCCGCTGGTGGGCCGCTCTGGTGACTCACTCCTTGTTCCCAGGTGACCTCCTTCAGCACACCCCCGACCCCCGAGCGGAACAACCGGCCTGCCTTCTTTTCCCCGTCGCTCAAGAGGAAGGTGCCCCGGAACCGGATCGCGGAGATGAAGAAGTCTCACTCGGCCAACGACAGCGAGGAGTTCTTCCGGGAGGACGGCGGGGGAGGTGACCCTGCCCCCGGGCCCCGAGGCCCCTCTCCTCTTGGCTTGTTCACTCATTTTCATTTAGAGAGCGAACGGGTGCTGCCAGGCCCGGGGTTGGGGGAGCTGTGGACAGACAGACAGAAGCCCACCTAGAGGAGCTCTCGTCCCAGTGCTCTTGGCGCTCAGAGGCCGAGGCCCAGGCGGCAGCGTGCGCATCATTTCTGGGCTCAGAGACTTCCAGATGTTGCCGGTCTGACTGTTCACACTGCGGGTGCGAGAAACGCCTGCTGAGAGAGGAGCTCTCTGGTCCATCCGTGCATTTTGTCACCTCCCTCTGCTGGCTTTTCTCCTCCTCGGTGCCGTCTCTGACCAGCTCAGTGTCGCTCTGGAGCCTCCAGTGGGGTGTCCCTCAGGGCTCCCCTGCCCTTCTCATGACTCGCATGGCCTTCCCGAGCCCGGGCCTGTGCATCTGGTGGCCTCCTGAGTGTCTCTGCCCAGGGGTCACAGAAGCCCTGTTCTCACCGACTCGCATTCTGCTGCGTCTCCCAGCCAACCTGCGCCTTCCCGCTGCTCCCTCCGTGCAACACGGGCCCACTGTCAGCTGTGCAGCAGGAGGGCTGGGGTCATGTTCATTGTAAGAACGGCGGGAAGCCACTGGCGGAGCTGGGCCACGGCACTGAAAGGTCCCGACTGCCAGGACCCAGAGGCAGAGGCAGAGGGCCTGCTGGACAAGACCCGGGCCAGGGCCAGGAGATGACAGCACTGGCCTTGACCTGCTCTTGAGTGAGCTTGGGCAAATGCCTTCCTCAGCTCGGCTGGCTTCCAGATCAGTAGGGGGGTATTGATAACCCCAGTCTGCTACCCTGGTGACCCATAAGACTGGGTGATGGTGACGGGTCATCCCAGCCTCACCCTGTGCCCTGCAGGCTGGCAGTGCTTTGTCCCAGTGACAGACAAGGCTAGAGGGAAGTGGAGAAGTGACACCGTGTGGCGATGTGTGAGTCCCACGGAGAAGACTCTGCAGCACAGAGAGGGAAGGGTGTCAGGGAGAACTTGGAGGGGCAGAAATGGGCCCTGAGGAGTGGGATTGGGCTAGAGAGGCAGGAGGGGGGCCAGGTGTCAGGCCAGGGTGCTAAGGCGCCCAGCAGAGGGTGGAGCTGGGCCAGGGAGGAGTCACTTGGGGAGGAAGGTGTTCTCCTTGCTGCCTGGGCCTGACTGGCCTTCCCTCCTCCAGCTGATCTGCATAATGCCACCAACCTGCGGTCTCGGTCCCTGTCTGGCACTGGCCGCTCCCTGGTCGGGTCCTGGCTGAAGCTGAACAGAGCAGATGGAAATTTCCTTCTCTATGCACACTTAACCTACGTCACTTTGCCGCTGCATCGGATTTTAACAGGTAGTTTGAACTTTGGGTGGGACCTCAGGAAACTACAGCCCCTAAATATACCCCTTTGGGTGGCACTCGGGCGCCCACCCCATCCCCTCGGGACTGGCTGCTGGCCCTCGCGGTGCTGGGCGCTGGCTCCAGAGTCAGGCCAGCCCACATGTGAGCCCCGTTCCACGTGGCCTCACCAGGCTGTGCAGCTGCTCCGAGCCCTTCGCCCTCTGTGATCCAGGTGCTGTCAGCACTGTGCTTCCCGCGGGATGGGAGAGGAAATGCGCGTGGACTGCTGGGCGTGGGCCCCCTTCGTCAGTGGAGCCCTCAGGGTGTTAACCTCCTCGTCTCCCCTGCCCCCCACCGCCCTAGACATCCTGGAAGTGCGGCAGAAGCCCGTCCTGATGACCTAGCCGTGTGCGGAGCCCCCGCGGGGCCCCCAGCCCTGCCTGGGCCTGGGCCTGCTGCCAAGTGCCTACCTGCCCACCGCCACTGGGGTCTTCTGGGACCACCCAGCGCCAGAGCCGGAGCCAGGCAGGGCCACTGACTCCCGGGGCCAGGGCCGACTCCATGAACACCAGCCCAAACTGAAGTGCCTCTTCCTCCTCCCCTGCTGGCTCTGCTCCTGCGCCCGCCCCCCATCACCCGCCAGCCCATCTCTGGAGAACCGTCCGCACCCAAAGAGGACCAGAGATGCCGAGAGGCCGTAAGAGAGAGCAGAGGAGCAGCCAGCATCCAGAGAGAGTCCAGACCAGCGGACCCGAAGCTCACATCCCAACAGACAGCCAGCAGCGACCACCCAGCCAGGAGCATTCAGTGCGTCAGACTGTCAGCGCCTAAGGAAACCCGGTTTAAGATTGTATAATGCTGTGCCGATGCCTTCAGTGTCCAAGTTAGTCCTGATCGTCTGTCCTCCCTCGTTTACTGCTTGGTCATCAGTGGGTTTCCACGGGGGTTGGGGAACACAGCTGTTTGATGGTTTTGCTCTGGGCTGGGAATACCTCACCCCACGCCTGGTTCCAGAAGGGCCTCGAGCTGGGCAGACAGGCCCCAATCCCGCCAGAATGGCCTTTGCTTCCAGCCAAAGAGCACCACCACCACACACACCTCCAACCTGGAGATAACTCGTCCGGGCCTCGGCTGGTGTGCCCCACAGCACTGGAAGCGGGTGGGAGGGCTTGGTAGCCAGAGGGGAAGGTGGAATCTCTGCCAAAGGGCGGATGGTGCGACGTGGGGTTGGCGTCCTCCCGGGAAGGGTCCAGGCAGAACCTCTGTCCCCTGGGGCTGGGGTGGGGGGGAGTCTCATCCTCCCTGGTTTCCTAGGCCTCATTCCTTTGACTGGGTGTGCTGGCCCCCTTCCTCAGACTGGTCACTGAGGCAGAGAGGAACTGGCTTCCACGTGGCGGGTCTGGTCTGTTGGGGGGGGGTGGCCGGCCGTCCAGTCCAGGTCTGGCCCAGCCCCATCCGGCTTGAAGGTTTCCAGTGATGACGGCGCACTATACTCCTCTCAGAACCATGGGTCTTTTCAGGAGCAGAGGCTCCGCTACCCCTCTGGGATAAGCTGTCAGCTGGGCCTCTGCTGCTCTAGTTTATGTCCTCAGGAATACTTGAAGGATTCCTGTTGCACGTTTAGGGGGAAGAGGGAAAGGAGGGGGCTCGTTTACCCATCCGTTTCTATTCTGTGTGCTCCAAGGGTTTGCACTGGGCTCCGGGAACAGGGGACTACTTTGGGGCTTTCTCCAGATTTTGTATGCTGTTATTAAAAGCGAGCTATTGCATTTCATTCTGCCTCAGTTTGCCCACCTGTAAGTGGGGCTGATACCACCTACCTCACTGAAGTCTCCAGGGTTTCAGCGCGATCGCCAGCCCTTCTGCACAGCTCAGCTCAGGTCGGGGATCAGGCTGTTGGGATGCTTACCCTCCGCCCACACCCCTGTCACCCAGGCCAAGGAGGCACAAGCCGTGGGGCTGGGGCAAATGTTCTTGTGTTCTCTGACAGTGCCCGGCTCATCTCCGCTGTGCCTCAGTTCCCTACACGACTTCATGTTCCAAAGCAGTGTCTTAGGGCAGCACAGAGCAGGTCCCGCCCCGAAGTGTTGGCGCAGGGCCGCCGGGAGCCAGGAACCGGGAGCCGGGAGCCGGGAGCCGGGAGCCGGGAGCCGGGAGCCGAGCCCGGCCCAGTGTTCCACGATGCCCTCTGAGTATTTGCTGGGGGTGCCCGAACGCT